CCAGCACTCGCTGCCGTATAGCATCGCAGGCCTTACCACTGTCCGGTACACCTTCCCTTTGAGCGTTCTGGAGCACCTTCGATCGCAGAGGATTCCAGTGGACTCCCTCCATTTCATCCATGCCGCGTTGATCCTCCCCTTTACTGCCTGATCCACACTGCCGTCGGCTGCCAGATCACTCCCAAGGTATCGGAAGTCCTCCACTCTTTCGATGGTCTCACCATGGCCGTCCACGATCGGCTCTGCACCCTCTTCAGAGCTCAGGAACTTGGTCTTCTTGACATTCAGCCGGAGCCCACCTTCTGCCAGGACTTCTGCCATTCTGCACCTTGGCCTGTAGTTCTTCTCTGCTATCCGCTATCAGGGCGATGTCGTCAGCGTAGAGGATGGTCTTTAGTGGTCCTTCAGACCGACTTCCATTATCTTTCGCCTTAGGTCACCCTTCTCCGCTTGGTGCAGCTTGCAAATTAGCTGCATCAGCTGCAATGTTCCCCGTTCGCGCAAACTGTTGTTCAGTCCCTTTCAGCCATAGCGCTCCCTCGCCCACCCTCCTGTCCTCAACGTGCTCAGGTCATCGCTTAAAGGCAAACCCCGGATTAGCCCGACTAGTAGGAAGGATACCGCGAGGGAAATTGTAAGGTCCGTACCTACCTAGATCACTCCAGCTTCGTCGCAAAAATTGCGCGGTTAGGGCGCTAATCCTTACGGGCCTGCAACCATCGCCCCTTTCTCCAACGCTTCCCACCCACCGCGAGATAGAATAAATAATATTATAATAATAATTATTTTTAAATTGAATTAATTAATTTAATTTAATTAAATTGTAATATAATTATAATAATAATATATATAATAATAATATAAATAGTGTGCAAAATGCACGGCTAGTCACTTTCTATCATTCACTGTAACAAGAAAAAGCCCCGGGAAATTGCGCGCCGCAAATCAGGAGTCATGGGCAGAGCGTTCAACCTCACATGAAGCCCGCGACTGCCCTTATGCTCCCGCGGCCTTGTGCTCATTCATCTCATTCTTTACCGAAAATTGACCTGAAAGCTCTGAGCCTGATGGGACTGGATGAATGGATTCGCGAAAACGTGGCACTGAATATCCCGATTTCACCGTATTCTGAGTCATTTAAACAATACTTCAAAACGCCTCGAAGATGGAACCAGAAACAAATATACCCACCGATCACTCTAAATTTTGACGTTTGCATGGACTCGCAGAGCTTAGGAGAAAATTAAGTAATTAGTCGTTCTCAATTAGTAATATGCGATTATTATTTTCTTGTTCGAGTCGATGCTGGACAATGTGTTCCATCTGTGACCGACTACGAGATTGTCATAAACTGCAGTAATACTTTCTGCAAAGCAAAGCTTGAAGATCTCGCGAGACTTCTTCGGAGGCAACCTTAACATGGCTCTTTGGTTAAGGACGAGTGAAGTCTGAGTAAAAATACGAATCAATCAGTGATGTTAGCAAGCACGTTCCAAAGAAGCTTTTCATGTGATGCCTTTGACAATGAATCGCATTTCGCTGCACGATAATGTTTAGCTAGAACCCGTGATCGTCATCTATAAGTAGAATTTGGTGAGAAAAGCAAAAATAATCGCATTCTTCATTTCATGATGTGGTTCGCCCTCGCGCCCTTCTCCTCCTAGTTAGTGTCGACGCTGAAATACGTGAGCTTCTGGAGAATGTATATTGTTAGGTCACCCGCATTTGCACGTTCACAGGGATACTGCAGAACCAATAAGAAAGCACATTTTTTCAGGCATCCTGAGGAATCTCACAGATCGAGTGTTCAAGGCTATAAATGAGCACTGGAACCCAAAAATGGTTGGTTTTTACTGGATTTGTTTCAACCGTCTTTTTCATAACAACTTCATAAAATTGTACAATGCATTAATTTTTATCACAGAAATGGGATTATGGAGTGTCCGGATTCGCATTTACAGAAGCATTTCGTAAGGGATCTTTCGACGCTACTATGAAGGCAGGCTGGACGCAGATAAGGAAGGAAAAGTTCGTATTAACATTCTTGTAGAAATACTAGCTGCGCTTATTGTAGATTTATTTGTATGTTCAGGTTATTTCGTTGGAACGATACCAGATCCCTTGAAGAAAAGGTGAATTCTACGTTGGAGGCTGTTTCAAGAAAGAAAGGCGAAAAAGTGAGTTGAAGTTGCTACGACCGCCATAACAGCCTACATTAATAGAGCAAAGCGCGTTCATGGCTGATGCCAAGCAGGTGACTAGGACATCGTACTATTCGCGAAAAGAAGGAGAACGTCTCCAATTATGCAGCATTCTACAGGTCGCCCCATAAGTGTTGCACCACGTTTCTCGTAACATCTCTCGAGATAAATATCTCCTTGAGTGGTTACACGCAGCTTTGGCTTGACATTTCCATATTTGGAGGAATGACATTCATTCGATGTGCTCCCCTGTAGGTGTGAGTATGGCTCCCACTTGCTTCCAACATAACTCCGCTATTGCCTGCATGACATCCTGGGGTATTTTTCTGAAACTTGCAAAGAAAAAGCCTCCACGTCGAATCATTGGGTAAAACAGGCTCTGTTCCTCCTGTACAGCCCACATAGTATGATCAAGCACGTTGAGACCAAGAGATAGGAAAGAGGATGTGAAACCGGGAAGGGTAGCGATGCCAATCGTGAACAATTCAGATGACGTCATCGACCATCGTGATTGAGCTAAAGGAGACCGGCCCAACGGGTAAGGAAGGGGTCCCGTTAATTGGGTTCCGGGCCGTTTCACATCGTTTCTTCTTCATCACTGCTCCACTAGCCACCTCTACCCTTCTTTCCATTACTTCCAATGAGCTACCTTTTCATCGTAAACTCTGTCTTCAAGTGTGAAGACATAGTGTATTTATTGCTCCCACACCGTAGGCATTCAGGCTATGAAAGCATATACATACCATATGGAATAGAGTAGAATACCAAATCTGCCAATACAGAGCTAATATCAGAAGACTTCTTCCTAACCCTGGGAATCTACATTGGAACTATAAGTTTGTTGCATTATAAATGTCGCTTTTGGACGTACCACAAAATTTGTTGGAACAGCAACAATTCGGCATCTCAGAAGAAAGATGGATACTACCTCATTGTGCTAGGCTTCGCCATTGCTCACGCGGTCTCGCATTTTTGTGCTGGTGATTTTTTTCGTAAAATGTAGGTTTTTCGTCGTGAAGTAACTTCATGGAAATCATTGTTTTTCTTTCTCGCCGAGCCAATGCATGGTTTGATGTAGGTCGATTTTTGTTTACGAAGACCTGCCGTGACCGTGTGAGCTAAATTCATCCCCTCAAGATGTCGTAGAACATTCACGTGTACACACGGAAATTCCGGTCAGTCACGGTTTAAGAGAATTCATGTGAATAAA